AAAAGGCGGCCGAAACGACACGTGCTGGGTACATGTGATCTTGCGAACGTCGCGACCTTCACGACAGGGGTTTTACTACGGGCCTCTGAGTGCATGTAATGCCTCTTTTGCCTATCGAAAAGTTGAAAAAGAGTTAATAGATATTTTTCTATATTGTGGCAGGGTATCGCCTTAGTACATAATATCTCCGAGAGGATTATATGTGTGGTTTACGCATACGCTGGTTTAGGCCCAACCAGCTTAAAATGTGTATGATGGAGCAATTCAAAAATATATGTTTTTGAAGAGAACAACAATTACGCTAAATCCTGCGCAAAATTTATTGGTAAAGCATTTTGCAAAGTGAAGTTCTTACAAAACAAATATAGACTGTTGAAAATGATAAGGTATGACAGCGCTCATACCGCCATTATGAAGCAGCCATAGTTTCGAGTCATAGTCCCAAAGCGCAGGTAGCTTTATCACGTAGATTTTCTGATTTAGCAGTGCTGCCTCCAGTGCACCTGGAAGCAACGAACATTTGAGTTTAGAGAGATTGGAGACAGAGGAGAAACTTACTGGCATTGATATCCACCGCTAAATTTTTTGTTGAAAACTTTGACGCAATGTCCGTCTGATCTCCCCTTACATTTTCTGCAGTATTCAGCACATGATTTCCACAGGTATCCCGTGCCATCCTATAATAAAAAGTAACCTTCAATAGACTATTTTGAAACATATTGAATTTCTTAATGGCAGAAATTGAATGGAAAATATGCGTGCTTGTTCGTGTAGAAAATGGCTACAATGATAACTTACAGCTGTTTGAGGTGTGCAGCGGCTCCAGTTTTCAAACCAGTTATCACATTCGGACTGTATAATCAAGGAGAGCAATAATAGAGCGGATAAGACGAAGCTGTTCATGGTGTGCGACTTCTACAGCTTGCTCCTGATTTTATATCAAAAATTGCGATTGTTTTGTCACACTTTCACGGCCTATTTATTTAGCTTTATTTATCTATTTATTTATTCAGCGCAGCTGACATTTTAATAGCTGAGAATTTGTTTAGAGAAAACAAACGAGGTCAACATGAGCGGGTTCACACCAAGTTCTATCTCTGCCTGGAATGTAGTTCAAAGTGATGATGTAATGGAATCGGCAAAGAGTCGTAAGTTTATCCATAACGAGATGTTTCTATGGCATGATTCATGGACTTGTATAGGCAGTTGGAATGCTATACTGACCTGAAGCTCTGCGCGGCGGACTGTTTATTTTTGTATCATATCTTCGCTAACAAAATTTGAAGTGATTCATCACCCTGCTGATTTGTTAAAAGAAAAAGTTTCAGTAGTTACTTTTTTATTCATATGAACTTTCGAAACTTAGCAGCTAACATCTACCGACAACCATTTGAAACTTTCAGTTGCCAAATCAAGCTATGCAATTTGTTTGAGAAAAATAACAGCGAAATGTTAGTAAAGTTGACTGAAATTCTTTCGTTATGTAATTCTAGAGTACAGACTGCAGCACGAGCAAAACTGATTAATGCAACACCGTCGTCAATATACCTCGTAGATGGATGATTGCTTAAAACTAGCAACTCATGCTTTTAGAGTTCGTTTGTACGTGCACAGCAGGGCTTGAAGCAGTTTGACTTTTAAGGCTTTTCAAAACGATTTTTTCATCGACATCGAAATTTTACGGATATTTTTGACCGTTCCAAAGCTTTTATCAACTTCTCTTGAAGTTCAGCATGTACTTTGAGTGGCAGGACTCAAAAAAAAACAAGAAAAAATGACAATTGGGTCTTTATTCCTTCAACAGCTTCAACTCATAAGCCTATAGAAGAAAAAA